TTCAACAATGAATCTATAACCCTCAGCGTAATTTATGCAGTCAAAACTGAGAAGAACATGATTAATCAAACCTTTTTCAAAGGCAGGCATCCATGGCTGCAAGAAACCAGAACCCCACTCAGCATAGCTTAAGGAGAAAAGGAGGAAAAAAAACAAAAACAGTCTTGACATAGAACTCAACAGCAGAACTCATGTGTTGGGTAGGTGCCTACTCTCTCTGTCTTTCTAGGACCTGAACAGTTAGTTCAGATGCTAAAATTATGATCTCAGTATTAAAATGTGGAATCTGGAGTGTCTATACTCAAATATTATCTCTATTATTTATTAACTTTGTGAACTTTGGTGAGTCACTTAATGTCTCAGTACTTTTGTTCTTTCCTGGAAAAAAAAGTAATAATGGTTACCTCTCTTATGTGTATGAACTAAAAACAAGATCACACATGATGTATTTAAGACAGTGCCTGAGACAGTAGGCACTAAGTTAATGTAAGGCATTGTGATAACATTATTATAATTGCTTGTTTGGGGCATATGTGCCATTCTTCTCTCTGGCTGCCTTTCGGTTATTAATTTTGCCAATTCCTAGATTAGGGAAAATGTAAAGAACACAATTCATAGGAACTTTTTCTCTTAGGCTAAACTTACTAACAAACGAAGCTGGCTAAGAAACCTGCGGCCTCTTGTAAGATGTTGAGTTCACTGTATGCCTGCAAGCCTTTTAAGTGAAATTGGGTAATCACTTTTCGTGGATTCAGTAGATAATATTAATACACTGGGTGAAATATTGGGCTACACAGCTTCTAAGTTTCTTTGAATGCATGGCTCAGTTTACACAGACATCGTATAAAATCCATGATACTAAATTCAAATAAAGTCTTCAATGCAAATCCAGAGCTTAAAATTTTCCTTTGTTTGAATCCTATAAATCTGAAAGGGAAAAGGGTATATACTTTATAAGTCAGATTTGGTAAAGGTTAAATGTCCATTTCAATAGAAAATATTTGGCAAAATCTTTATGTTAAAGCAAGAGCTCACCCAAAAAGTTTAAATGCTCACTTCAGATACATCCAACATATGGAATTTTTAGTGTGATTGAGAAATAAAATGGATCCATGGAAGTGCTCAGGTACTGTAGTTGAAAAGTGCAGGAATAGAAAAACCACAAAATTTTATCAGCATAAAATTCTACATAGAAAGTATAGCCAGTTTCCAAGTAAAACAATTTCTACTATCGAAGATGCCATTTCTTGCACCAAAAATTCAGTATAGATACGTGATTCCCACAAAATCAAGAAAAAAGTGAATTGTGGGAAGGAGGAAGGGGACGGTGGTACCAGTGATTAAAAGGTAACAACTATTTCTCTTCAAAACTTCTTGACATTAACATCTTCGTGTATGTTATGACCAGAAGCACTATTAAGAAGGGAAAATCACACACCATAAGAGTGTGTGTTGAACAATGGAGACTGCTAATTGTCATGCATTCGGACCTTGGAAGGGAGCATTCTACTTTAAAAAGACTGGCTTTGCAAAATCTTAATTTTCATTACATTAAAGGATGTAGGAAGTATGGAAGGAAAAGTCCAATGTGTTGTTTTAGCAGACTGGCAAATATTAGTCAAAAGTAGGAAACTTGCTCTTATGCTTCTTGAATGCAGGTGATTTTTACTCATCTCTTAGCCCCATTATTTAGTACAACAATATTGTTAGGTTCATTGGTCTCAATCACATTAGAAAGAATGGTAAGATATTATATGCAAAGATAATTAGCAAAAAATACTAAGTATCCATATTTTAAAATCCATAACCATATACCAATTTATGTAAGTTAGACATGTGGTTTAATAAATGTTCCAGGTGAGGTATACAGAATAAAGCTTTAGAATGTAGTAAGAAGAGTAATTTAGGGATGCTGAGTTGTGTGTTTAAGGAAATCTATAAAGTCTATTCAGCAGATAAGCATATAAATGGTATTGATAATTAACCAATTCAGTGATATGGCTCCAAGCTTAATACTATACTATAGAAGAAAAGAAAATTTGGATTACAGATAACAAGGAATGGTTTCAAATTTTTTCTTAGTAATCCTGCAATACACACCAGATGTGTTTGCCTCCAATGAGGCAAAACAAAAACAAAACCTTCAGGACTACACAAAATTTGGACAGCCAACCCCCATAAAATAAATCTATATTTCAGTAACTAAAAGCTTTTATCAGCAAAGGAGTTCAATTTTTTAGAATGTCTCTACGTATGATTGCTAATCCAGAGAAACAGGGAGAATGAGATGTCAGTAGAATAAATGCTTTTTCTAACAATTAAAAGCCCAAGATTTGGAAAGGCAGAGTGACTGGTTGAATAATAAACAAGATAACCACAGTATTCTCACATGGGAATTGTTTATTTAGTTCATGAATTAGATTTAAATTATTTTGAGAGTATTAGGACAGATCCCAGGTCTCAAAAACTAATTCCCCACCTTAATAATTCCACTTACCACTTTGCTTTTTATTGTTGTTTATCATATCAATATTAAAATTGTAGTAACCCATATGACCTTGATGTTTGTCATTTTCTTATGAAAACAGAGACAGTGGCTACCTGATTTGCTATGCTTTGCAAGACACCTAGGAATATGTCACATCTTTAAAACTGTGACAGTAAAATCCTGAATTTACTCTTCAGGCACATGCAGGGCTTTATAAATAATTCTTTCGAAATTCTATTTTGTCTTAAACACAAAGGTCTTGCCTCAAGGCAATGTTTCCTAAACGGCGTTCCATTAAATTACAATGCTATGAAATTCTGTTCGAAATGGCATCTATCATCAAGTAAAGTTTGGAAAATTTTGAACTAAGGCATTGCCTGAATAGAGTATAGATTAGAGGCTAGTGCCTGTCCAAAGCCAAGTAGAATTTTATGAGTATACTAATAATGATGGACGAGAAGGGTACAGACATTTAATAAGAAACAATTTTGCCTTTATAAATTTTATGAAAGTGCACTAATTTAAGTAATACATTCACATGACTAAAGACTTGCAGAAAAGAGCAACAATATGTGCAGATTAAATTTTTTGATTCCATACTTCATGGTGAAATGGGCCTAACAATAATGCTTACAAAATAAAAGTGATTTCCTCTTCACACTACATATTGACACAAAATATTATGGGTTAGAAAAAAATCTCGATTAATTATTTATAAAGTTAGATAGCCACCTCTCCAAAGAATGTATTTGTGCCAAACCATATACCATATTAAACCCTATGAAATCTCACTCATGGTAAGTAAATTCTCAGACAGAATATGACTTTTAACTGGGTAATGATGCTAGAAAATATACTATTAAGGGTGCCTGGGTGGCTCAGTGGGTTAAAGCCACTGCCTTCGGCTCAGGTCATGATCCCGAAGTCCTGGGATCGAGCCCCACATCAGGCTCTCTGCTCAGCAGGGAGCCTGCTTCCTCCTCTCTCTCTGCCCACCTCTCTGCTCACTTGTGATCTGTCTGTCAAATAAATAAATAAAATCTTTAAAAAAAGAAAAAGAAAATATACTATTAAGTGTAATAGTAGAGATGAGTTTTAGTTGCCTTTTAAATAATGAATGTCAGGGGAATGGTATAAATAAATAACATGCATCTAAGCTCTCCTCATATAGTGGCCTTATTCTGGAAATTCCTCTAGATCCATAGATGACACCTTCTTTCTAGAATAAAAGTGACTCAGTTCCCCTTGTTCATTTTACTGAATGTTCTTTATTTTTTTACCCTTACAAATAGTTGAGACAACTGAATTAAGAAATACAATCAAGCAGAGTCTTAAGAAGACAATGGAGTTATTTTTACACAATAAAACCCTAATAAAGTAACGTAAAAATCAATTTAGAATGTTTCTTTTTTGTATTTGTGCAAAATAACTGACTCAGTATTTTTCTCATTAAAAATTAAAGCAGCCACCAAAATTTAAAATAAATTCAAGAAAAACTATGAGGGGCGCCTGGGTGGCTCAGTCATTAAGTGTCTGCCTTCAGTTCAGGTCAGGATGCCAGGGTCCTGGGATCGAGCCCCACATCAGGCTCCCTGCTCAGCAGGGAGTCTGCTTCTCCCTCTCCTGCTCCCCCTGCTTATGTTCCCTCTCTCCCTGTGTCTATGTCAAATAAATGGGTAAAATCTTTAAAAAAAAAAAAGAAAAGAAAAGAAAAACCATGAGCTTCCTTATACAGATTTTAAGCACAAATTTAATTTTTTTAGTTTTGTTCACACTAAATGATAAAATGCTTTGGTCAGAAGCAAAACAGAGAATTCCCATAAAAATGATATTATTTAGGTACTATCAGGATGCTTCCTACCTTCAGAGAAGACTTTAGGAAGCACCTTGGTTATAGGACAGGTGGGATACTACACAATAAAATCCCCACTTTGTACTTACACTTAAAGGTCACAAGCACAGAGTCATAAAGAAAAAGCAAGTTTCTTTAGGCATCATGCTGCTGCTGGTCCATTAGGCTTTTCTTTCTCAGTCTGGCTTTTGGCAACTGTTAGGTTCCCATGACTATTATTTGTAGTTTCCCCTTCCAGTAAAACTGAAGGGCATTTCAGGGAACAGTCCCTAGGTTCTGGCCAAAGTTAATGCCAAGATCCAACAGAGTCAAGTCATAGAGCAGAAGCAGGCCAGGGTCCAAGATGAGGCAACAAGCAAGCTCCAACAGGTTCATCTTTTTAGCTCTGGCACTTTAGGATTCACAGGCTAAATCCACATCTTATGAGCAAGGTAAAATCCAGAAAATACAAGTGTGAGTTATATAAGTGTCTTTATGCTTATATATTTATGCTGTTACTTTCAACAACAGGCCAAAGGCAGATTTCTGGGGCAATGGCAACTACGACACTCCAGGAGCAGGAAGAGTCACCAAAGAGAAGAATGACTGGTAACTTTGCTGTATTATTACTGGAGCAATTGTGTGACTACACAGTGTGGTTGTTTCAGAGAGACAGCAAACTCAGCATCTGAATGTTTACCAATCTTGGCACACAATTGTCTCTCCATATACCTGTTTTCAACCCTATCAGGAAATTCTTCATATAAAAGATTATAAAGGGAAAAAAAGGTAAAAGTCATTGACAGGCAAAGGACATTTTTATTAGTGATCACTGGCATATTTAAAACAGAAATTAAACTGAAAACTGAGAAAATATGTTCTCATGTATGTTTCTATTTTCAGATTTCTAGGAATTGCAGACTTCCCAGGAATGTAGGAAGGAGATGGCTATATAGACAAAGAATATCTACTTTTTAAAGCAAAGTTTGATTCTCTAATGAAATAAAGAATCATAGCACTTTGATCATCATATACTATTCTAATGCCTTCTGGTAACATGGAGAATACATCAAAACCTCTTCTTTTGAAATCATTAATAATTTGGTTACAAAAGATGGTCCTTTTTAGAAGCCAAAACAGTCCACGCAGAAACTTTTCTTATCCCAACAGACTATGTCGTCATATTTGTTTAATTCAGGATTAATAATACTTAATAGGTCAACTTGAATCCACTTTTGTGGAAGAAGCCCTATGCATACCGAAATACCAGATTAACTTATTTTTGTTTGAATTACTGTCTTTAAACTCTTGGTTTTGGTAAACTATATATAAATACTATATATCATCTAAAAATAGATGGTCTCTGCTCTTAATCTATCCATAAAAATGTTCAATTAACAATGGAACATTCCCTAGTTTACCCATCAACACTCTCCCATAAAAATACTATTCAGCAAGTATTAATAATCCATGATAATTTTCCCATACCTCCTTGATTGGATATCTTTTTGGAGTCAGGAAGGGATATTATAATTACAATGCACATATTATATTCTCTTGTCATCTCTAAAGAAGAGACCCACACTAAACAAGCATTAGACACAATAAAACTGATAAAAAAGACAGTGTTCAACTCAACTGCCTCACATTTTGAAACATGTAGGACCTCAATCATGTATTTTGAAATTGTTTTACTACGAAAGAAACACATTTTTAATCATTTACACTGGAATTCATTATAGCACCACCTTCTAGGTACTACAGTTGAATGTACTTGGCATTTGATGCTATCACAAGAGTTAAATTGCATATAGTGAAAGTCTCCCTAAATAAACCCCTTTGAAACGGGTTTCAGATGGACTTGAATTCAGATGGACGTTGAATTCAAATCATGATGAAGTTCCAGGACTTACATGGAAAATACATACAATTATTAAGACTTTGGTTTTTTAGTATATGTGCTGCCGAAGCGAGCACATCAATGTACCTATTTAATAAAACACAATCAAATACTCAGAAAAAAAAGTAAAACAATATTCAAATCCCAGTTATGTAGACATAGTCCTAATTTCATAGTGTTATCCATGTCTACCTCAATTCTTGGTGCTAACCTCAGTCACAACATACACAGTTCACAGACTTGACATTTTTTTTGGAGGAAGGGTATGTACTGTGATCTAAATGTTTGTGGCCCCTCAGATTCAGATGTTGACATCATACTGTCTGGTGTGATGATATTAGCAGATGGGGCCTTTGCAGAGGGCTTAGGTCATGAGGGTGGAGCCCTTATGAATGGAATTTGCGCTCTTGTAAAGGAGACCCCAAAGAGCTCCTGCATCCCTCCCACCATGTGAGGATACAACCAGACCTCTGCAACCTGGAGGAAGAAGGCCACACTGGCACCCTGATCTCAGACTTGCAGTCTCCAGAACTGTGAGAAATAAATTTCTGTTGTTTATAAGCTACCTAGTCTGTGGTAGCAGCCCGAACATACTAAGACAATGTGGAAAAGAGGCAAAATAAAATTTTGTCAACATTGTACTTGTCCTTTTAATCCACCCTTTGTTTTTTTGAGGAAGACTTCCATGTGTGATTTTGATATTTAAAAAAAATTTTTTTTTAATTAGTACAACCTTAAAGGACAGAATCCTAAATATTTCTCTTTTATCTTCCCTATTTTTCCTTTTCTAGAAAATGTGTGTTCAGGGAGGGAAGATTCTACTCTACCTTGGAAGACTACATGGACTAGGACAAACGATTTTGAAAACAGAGCTTTGTTACCTAACCCACCTGCTTCATTTCCATCCTAAATTAGTGAGAATGATGTCCACATTACAGGGCTATTGAGGCTGTCAGATAATGACTTCCAGGATTATGTGAGTTAATGCATATAAAGCCCCACGCCTTCTCTCTGGCACACAACCAGCACCAAGTATGCTATTTGCCTTTCTGTCTTCTTTTCTAATTCCGAAATCTGAGTGAGTAAATCTTTTTGAAAATCCTTAGAGAATAACTTAAAAATTACACTTCTAAATTTAGATTTTATAGACCACAACTCAGTATCTTAAAAGCTAGTAAAATATGAGGCCTGATCAAATGTGAAATAATTTAAACAGCTTATAGACTAAAAAAGTTGGATGGAACATTCACTCATATGAAAGTTATAGACCAAATTGTACATAATAATTTTTATCATAAACAGTGACATATCCCAATGAACAATAATTAAGTTTCTAAGCATTTAAAATAAATTTTATTTTGGGGGCACCTGGGTGGCTCAGTCAGTTAAGCATCTACCTTTGGAACAGGTCATGAAGGGTTCTAAGATCTAGCCTCACATTGGGCATCAGGCTCCCTACTCAGTGGGAAGTCTGTTTCTCCCTCTCCCTCTGCCACAGCCCTCCACATCCCCAGCTTGTTCTCTCTCTCTCTCGCTCGCTCGCTCGTTCGCTTTCAAATAAATAAATTAAAATCTCTTAATAAAGGGGCACCTGGGTGGCTCAGATGGTTAAGCATCTGCCTTGGGCTCAGGTCATGACCCCGGGGGTTGTGGGATCAAGCCCCACATTGGGCTCTCTGCTCATTGGGGAGCCTGCTTCTTCCTCTCCTGTTCCCCCTGCTTGTGCTCCTGGTCTCGCTCTCTGTCAAATAAATAAATAAAATCATTTTAAAAATCTTAAAAAACCATTTAAAAATTAATTTAAAAAGTACTTTATTTTTAATTGGTGATATGTCTACAGAAGTGTCTCTTCCCCCTTTTTATTGAACATTTGAAAACAAATTTTATTGAGATAAGAGTAACAAGTCTATGTTATTGATAAAAATAAAGTAACAATAAAAATTCGCATGTCTCCTCCATGAAGCAGCTTTTTTCTTAAATCCACAGCATTTATTACTTAGAAAATTAATGATAAAAAAGGAAACAGTTTTTAGTGAACTTCAGAACTGGTATCTGTGAATCCTGTAGCAGGCCATTACTGTGTATAATTAATGTTCTTTCCAAGGCACAAGTGGCCAGATTACTCTCCACAGAGATGTTAATGTGGCCCATGAGGGATGGATTTACATTTTCATATACTCCCAGAAGCTTCTTCTGATCACTCACCTTTTCCTATCTATTTATTATTTTGTCATATCCATTAGTGATATGCAAATATTTCTGCAGTATCTGCTGTTTTCTAAGTTCAGGGAGGGAAAAAAAAAAAAAAAGACACCTGGTATTAAGTTGCACTGATTCTTTGTTTTTCCTTTCAAAGAGGCCACTGCTTTACGAAAATGCACTGAAGCACTTTATTGCTACACTAAAGACACTGTAGAATAAGCAAGTGGGGCCTAGATAAATATTAGGAAGGAATACTACAGAAAAAGGAAGGAAAAAAAAAGAAGACATTATAATGAATCAAACATTAAGAAAGAAAAGAGAGAAAGAAACAAAAGAAACAGAGAGGATATAGAAAGTTCTGGGTCAATAAAACAGTATTTTCAATAAAAACTTGCGGATGCATTTGTAGTGAAAGCAGACTCAACTTTTACAAAAATATGACACAATGCTTTTAACAGGATTCAGTCACATGATAGAAGAAAGTGGCTAATTCACTTTTTTTTAAATTATTGAAGTCCATTCTTATCTATGTCCCAGCTCCAAAAATTTCCTTTTAAAAAAGTCAATTTCTTGATGATAATGAATAATGGTGATCTATTTACTAGTATCACAGTTTTAAGCCAAGTATCTGTTCTATCTGATCCTCAGTATTCTCTTTTGTAGAATGGGAACATCATCATCTACCTCACTGGGCTACTGTAAGTTTTTAATGAGATAAGTACGAAATGCTCTTGACACAGTGCTGGCGCTTAGTTGTGTTCTCAATATCTAGTATTTTTTTTTTTTTTTTTACTAAAACTAGTGACTAGTAAAAATAATTAACACATGTCTAGCATGCATGTGCTTTTTGAAGATTGAGATAAGTTTTGAGAAAAAAATTCTCTGTCTTCTACAGGAAATAATCAATTTTATCAGGTGAGTAATACTCTGGATCAGGGATTTTCCACATAGACTATGCTTTAGTATCACAAATTACTGAGTAAAACAAAAACTTATCTTTAAATAATTCACCAGTGGGCATTTGCGTGACTCAGTCAGTTAAGCACCTGACTCCTTGTTTCAGATCAGGTCATGATCTAGGAGTCCTAGGACAGAGCTTTGCATTGGGCTCCCTGCTCAGTGAGGAGTCTGCTTGTCCTCTCTCTCTCGCCCTCTGTTCCCTTCCTCTCTACTCCTTTCCCTCTGCTTCTCCCCCACTCTGCCTCTGTTTCTCAAATAAATGGATAATCTAAATAAATAAATAAATAAATATCCACCGATTGGTTCAATGTCTCATCAAGTTTAAGAATTATTGTTCTAGGGGCACCTGGGTAGCTGAGTGGGTTAAGCCTCTGCCTTGGGCTTAGGTCATGATCTCAGGGTCCTAGGATCAAGCCCCACATTAGGCTCTCTACTTAGCGGGGAGCCTGCTTCCCCCAATCTCTCTCTGCCTGCCTCTGCCTACTTGTGATCTCTCCGTCAAATAAATAAATAAAATATTTTAAAAAAAGAATCATTGTTCTAGATGAATACTTACAAAATGTATACTCACAGACAAATGATTATATTATATGAATTATATACATTTTTAAAATTTTTTTATTTATCCATGTGTTTGCTTTTGCTTTTGAGTTTTGTGGTTAAACTGATCATCTCCTCATTTCACTTAACAACTATCTCCTCGGGGTGCCTGGGTGGCTCAGTGGGTTAAAAAGCTTCTGCCTTGGGTTTAGATCATGATCTCAGCGTCCTGGGATTGAGACCCACATCAGGCTCCGCAGGGAGCCTGCTTCCCCACCCCCTCTCTCTCTCTGACTGCCTCTCTGCCTACTTGTGATCTTTGTCTGTCAAATAAATAAAATCTTAAAAAAAGACTATCTTCTCCGCTCTAAAACATTTCCGCTTCTTTCATTAAAGTCTTTTTTGATTCTTCCATCACATAG